GATTTTTTTTCAAAAGATGTTTTGAAAAATTATTTTGAGAGAGAGTTTTGAAAAAAGTGATTGATTTGATGTATATGAGAGAGAGATTTGTTTGGAAAACTTGTACACCAAACAAGTTTTGGAAAAAAAATTTGGAAAAATTTGTTTGGTTTGACTACTTTTGAAAACTTATTTGTAGAAAAAAATTTTCAAATTTTTTTGAGAAACACAAACCAAACAAGGCCTTTAATTTTCAAGATTGTTGGCAAAAAGGTCAACTTATGCTTTCTTTTAAAAGGAGGGATCCCAGTTTCAATCTGTACAAAAAGGGTTCACTAGAGATGCTCTCAATCATGTTTCCATGCATATCATCATTCCATCTTCAAAGCATACACCCAAGTAAAAAATTAAAATAAAAAATAAAAAAATCTATCCACAAAAGTGAAAAATAAAAAGAGACAAAGAATTACACCAATCTCCATGAAATTTGGAGATTGTATAAATAACTTCACAATTTTAACTAATTACATTAACATTTTTTTTAGTCAGATTAAAAGGGATAGAGACTAATGCAAATAAATAGTATGAAGAAACGTGAATAAATAATATATGTATATATATTTCAATGTAAAAGAAATAATAATATTATTTTTTTTTATTCATATGACTAATGAATTGATAAAAAAATAAGCTAAGTGTTTTGTTATTTAAAATCTTAAAGGAACCTACTATAATTTTGTCAACTGTGTGACTTGATGTATTTTTTCTAAACCTCATATGAGTGTAATTTACGATAAAAAAAAAAAGTAAATGAAAAGGAGACATCTAAGGGATGACCTCGTTTGAGAACAAGTTATTTTAGTAACTTTTTGACTTTTTTGCTAAAATATGAGATAAAAAAATTAGTATGTTTGGAATTATTTTTTGATTTTTTTTACGAAAACATGTGTAAAAAATAAAGAGTAAAAGGAATCTTTGACTTTTTAGTATAGCTTACGGGCTTTTTGATTTTATTAGTAACTTTTTAGCTTTTAGGCTAAAACTGTTACATACCAAACAAGACCTTAGAATGAGATAGAAGCCCAACCACCATACCAAAATAACCAAGCATAAGGTTTCGTTTGGAAAGAGGGTTGGGCTAATTTAGTTTACAAAAAAATAAAATAGGTTAAAAAGTCAAAATGTCGCATTTAAATTATAATCATTTTATTTTTTTTCTCACAACCATCATATTCAAACTAAAAAAAGCCAAAAGATTACCCAAGTGAAAAAAAATTTAGTCAAACTAAATTAACCAAAAAATAAAAAAAGTCGAACTAAATTAGCTCTTTGTAAATGAAAGTTTAATTATTGCAAGACTTCAAAATAAATTACAAGCAAAAGTATAGTGATTGGCAAGATATCTAACAAGGCCCACTTGGGTGTTTGTAGTTCTTTGTCCATTTCCCTCAAATCCAATGCGCTAGGGTAAACATACATAAGTCCACTATAGGCTTGAAGCCTATTCTATCCTTTTCTTCCATTCCCAAGCAGTACAATGAAGCTAGCAATAACCACAAAAGTTAGCCACAAGACAAAACAGAGACAATTATAATAAGCAAAAGTGATATTAACCCAACTTGAAGATAGCCACTCTGAAAGCTTAGTGAGATCAGAAATGAGTAAAGTTGCAAAAACTAACAAATTTTATGTTTTAAAAAATGAAGTTAATCATTGATATGGCACTTAACACATTATTGAAGCAAGTCCTATTTTATATGACAAAATTTCTTTATTGCATAACATATCAATTAGTTAGAAAATTTTGTAATATTTATTAATTTATATAACATTTTCTCTTATATAAAGCACTAAGCATGGAGAATGGGATGAAGGAAATGATCCTTGTCGCAATCTTTCTTTTCTTTTCTTTTTTCATAAAGGAAGATTGATTGAAGCTTGATGGTGCCTACTCCAATGGTGTCAAAGAATCAGCGAAGAAGTGGTTAGTTGGTGGGTTTTGAAAACTAAAGCTCCCAATAACACTCCACCACAAAAAAAAAAAATAATAATAATAATAATAAGAAGAAGAAGAAGGTAAATTATACAAACATCCCTAATGTTTGAAAAAAATCATTAAGTTTTACAAATTTAGCATTATTACATTATACTTTTTTAACTTTTTAATTCATATAATATTTAATTCATTTTTATTAAAATTTCGTTAGTCATATAGATGGAAAAATAAAGTTAGGTTACAACTAAAAAGGTCACTGTTGTTCTATCAGATCAAATACTTAGGCCTTGTTTGGTTTGTGTTTCCCAAAAATTTTTGGAAAAAATTCTCTACAAATAAGTTTTCAAAAGTAATCAAACCAAACAAATTTTTCCAAAAAAATTTCTCAAAACTTGTTTGGTTTACAAATTTTCTAAACAAATCTCTCTCTCTCTCATACACATCAAATCAATCACTTTTTTCAAAACTCTCTCTAAAAATAATTTTCCAAAACATTTTTTTAAAAAAAACCAAACCAAACAACTTTTCATACTTTTTATCTCTAAAATTCATCTCCCAAACTCAAACCAAACATACATTTAATCTTTTTCTCACCACACCCTATGGTGTGATTACAAGACCACTGTGTCTTCACACCACCTACATTAAGGGGTTGTTTGGAATGACCTAAATAAGTACACTTTTTGTCTTTTTACGAAAAGATGTGCAGAAAAATAGAGAGGTGATATGAAGGAAAAAAGATAAAAAGATAAAAAGATGGATTATTTTGATGTTGCCAAACTTGACCTAATTCCAGTTCGTTAGCCTTACTAAATGGAAGGTTAGTGTACTTATGCCATAATTGTAAGATTTGTTATACTTTTTATAAATTTCAAGAAATATTAGTATGATAGATCACCCAAAATAATAATAATCAAAATTTGAAAAGACAAATGAAAGGATGGCATAAGGTGGTTGGTTGGACAGACTGTAAGGGATAGCAACAGGATGGAGAAATTCTATTTTCATATATCTAATTAGCTCAAAGCATACACTTAATAAAATATTAATTTAATGACAATTATATCTTAAATAAAAATGACCATAATAGACATCCAACAACACCCATAATATAATACGGAAAAAAAATTTGTACACATCTTTTAAGAATAAAAAAATCTCAATGTACACCTTTTGATTTAAAAAAAAAAAATTAAGTCCTAATTTTTTAATTGTTGTCACTTTGCTTGAACAAACAATCCAGTTGAATACCATGCTCCATTTTGTTCGGCGATGAAGAACACATGGAGAAAGTCTTGAACAAACAATTCAGTCAAAAACCCTGCTGCATTTTGTCCAGTGATAAAGAACACAGTAAGAAATACAAATTTTGATTTGAAACCCCATATCACTGGCTGACATTTCAGTGGGGTTGGTGACTCAATAATCCAATCACAAAAAAGACCCCCAAAAAAAAAACTAGAGAAAACTCTTATTAAGCATATCTTCTTTCACAAAATCTTCAACTAAGCAACAGCCAGGGTTCTATCAAAGTTACCAACCAAAAGAGGAGAGAGAGAGAGAGAGTACCAATCTTAAATACTAGTACATAGCACTGTTTGCTTTTGATTATTAACATAAGGTTCCACATTTTTCACTCAATTTTATCCCAGGTATTTTATTTCATATATTTACAACCAAATGAGAGTGTTAAAAGCAGATAAATACAAAACCGAAGAAATTCTTCAAATTCGGAAACTAATACTCAATATTTGATTTTATTTTTTTGGAAGTTATTTGTCAAAATAATACAATTTATTTGGTAGTTATGTTTCGAACTCAATCTATTTTTTCGAAAACCCAGTGCTGAAGGCCCCAAACCATCACTCACAAGACCCAAATCGAATGTTTTATTGCCAAAAGAGTCCACATAGATCCAAAAATGATAAATGCAATAACAAAATGATAAATGTAAAAGATTTCTTACCTTCAACACTATTTTAGAGGATTTACAATAGTCTTTAATGGAGGTCTTCTATGCAAGTCTTCAATGGTGAAAATTTCACTTCAAACCAAAATCTTTTTCAAGGGCGTGGGTGGGTCAATGTAGAAGTAGGGTCAATCAAAAGTGTGTGACAAGAATATTAGTGGTGTGTGTATAATGGTTATATGTGAATGGTGTAATTGTTACTTTAAATGTATAAATTAAGAAAATTAATTGATAATCAAATTAATAGGTATGTGTATTAAAAAAAGATTTGCCTTGAGCTAATTTGGTGTGTGACCCAACAAGATGGCATCTCCATTTCTTCTTCTCTGTTTTTTTTTTTTTTCTAATTCAAATTCAAGAACCAAACACAATGTAAAAAACTCCAAACTCCATAATTTTTCCTAATGACAACCTTTGCGACTATTTGGTAGAAATTATATAAATTGCTTACATTTTAACATCTTCGTGTTAAAATCTCCCCACTGCTGATGGTATAAGCTCCAAATTCAGGTAAAAAAGCTCCATACTACTTTCGCACCTACTGGATAAAAATAAAAATAAAGATAGAAATTCTATTTTTTTCTTTTTTAGGGTTAATTTGACAATTATTTTTACATTAACATTTGTTGCTTTATAAAAATAACTTTATTCTACATTTCACCAACTTTTCACACATTTCCTTTTGACGCTCCAAATTTCTTCCCAAATCCATGAACCAAACATAACCTCAGTGAATTTTTCATTTTTTTTTTAAAACTTTCAAAGGCAAAAGAGTTTAACATAATTAAAACAAAATTCACTAGAGACTAAACTTAAACCAAAAAACAAATTCCCACAAGAATTGGAATACCAAAAGCATAACAAAGACCCCAATGTTATATCATGAATTTGTATAGAAATTTGAAAAGAGACGAGAAAAAAAATAATAAAAAACAAACAAACAAACAAACTTATATTTCATTTATATTTCACTCACATTTTTTCTTTTCTTTTTCAAATCCCTACTTAAAACCACCATCCACAAAAACAAAACTCATCATCAATGTTTCCAGAAACTAAACAAAGGATAATTGCATATGCACAAAACAGGTAGACAACATAACCCAACAAAAAGTGTTCATACATTAAAATAAGCTCACACAACCAGAACCCAAATCTTACATATTAACATCAAACAAGATTTCATCCTTGGAAAGTTCTTCCCTAATCACAACCACTACCATAACTTAAAACCTAGTAGCACAATAAACATACTAGTAAGTAGTAACACAACATATACATATCTGCAGCACAGAGTAGTAGACTTTTGGGATTTTACCAAACATCAGCAGAAAAACATAGAACTGCACACATTGCTATGCAACTTGGGCAGCTCTGGTACTGGAGGACCGCCAACAGATGTGAGACCTCCGTGACTTGAAGATGTTTCAGACATATCCTCAAACTTCATAAACAATGAAATTTGTGTAGCTGCCAAGTGCGCATAACGGATCGGTGCAACTGCAAGAAGCAGAGTTTAAACTTCTAAACAAACAAAATAATTGTAGCAAACAAATTAAAATTACTTTCATAGCACCCTCAACACCAATTATAAGTTCTCCGGGATGAGAAGGATAATTATGTTATTACAATGTGCAGATTAGGATCAAACATGCTTGCGTTCTGAGAGCGCACATGCACTCGACGACAAAGTAACCAAACCAAACCAAACTAAGCCTTATGTTTCAATCAATATGAAAAACACCCGAAGACAGGCACTAGTATTTACCCACATATTGATATTAGGATTCATGTTCATATGGGCCACCAGTATTTACTCGCATATCGATATTAGGATTCATGTTCATAAGGAATCAAACAAAAAATTTTACGTGCAGATTGGCAGCAAGTATACCTAACACACAACTCTCCTACTTTATTTGGGCTACAAACTATTTTCTTGCTTTCGGTATAAATTAATATATTGGGAAAGACTCACATTTGCAGAAGGCAATAATAAAATTTCAGGAAAAGGAGACAGTCAGTTAACTACCATATTGGGTGGTGTAATTCAATTTTCCTGAATTATTTCATACTAAATGCAGTACAAAATTGAATTGAATGATAATGGCAGGTTAGATTGAGTGTTCAATATGACCCAAGTTAGTCTATTGTAAAACCAAACCAAACCAAACCAAACCAACTCGAACCAAACTTTAAGTCCCATCAAATGGGGTCGGCTACAAGAATACTTCTCCAAGCGGCCCTATCAAAAGTCATTTCATTAGTCAAATTAAGTAGACCCATATCTCTATTTACAACGCTAGCCAACGTTAATCTAGGCCTACCCTATCCCCTAACACTTTAATCTACCGTTACAACATCGCATCTCTTCACTACTGCCTCTGTTGGCCTCCGTTGAATATAACCAAACCATCTCAATCGATTCTCTCTCAACTTGTCTTCTATCGGTACTACTTCTACTCATTCTCGAATACACTCATTCCTAATTCTGTCTTGTCTAGTCTTGCTACACATCCACCTTAGTATCCTCATCTCAGCCACCCTCATTTTATCTACATGTTATTTCTTGATTAACCAACACTCCGTCCCATACAACATCACTGGTCTAATAGCCATTATATAGAACTTACCTTTTAGTCTAGTGGGTATTCGTTTATCGCACAGTACCTCAGACGCACTTCTCCACTTACACCATCCCGTCTTAATCCAATGGGTCACATCCGCATCAATCTCCCCCGCTGTTGTGATAATCGACCCTAAATAATGAAAATGTTCACTCTTAGGCAGTTTTTGGTTTTCAATCTTCACTTCTCCTCTGTTTTCATTGTTACTGTTACTAAATTTACACTTTGTGTATTCTGTCTTAGTTCTGCTTATCCGAAATTCTTTATATTCAAGAGCTTTTCTCCAAATCTCCAACTTTGTGTTAACTCCTCTAATCTATCCACTAGCACGATATTGTCTATAAAAAGCATACACCATGGCACGCCGTCTTGAATATTTCTCATCAACTTATCCATAACTAAAACAAAAAGATAAAGACTTAAGGTAAATCTTTGGTATAACCAAGGTTGTTAAGATCGGGATCCTACTCAGGATCATTTTGGAGGTCTGTCGGATCGGATCGTAGGATCGGATCGAGAATCGTAAGATCCTACTAAAATGATAAAAAAATGCAATAATTTTTATATGATTAAGTAACACTATCAAAATATATATAGAATAAGTCCCAAGAAAAGAAATATAGCAATTCAAGGTAGCATTCAAACATTTTTTTTCAAAAAAAAGAAGTCAAAAACATAATAAAGGCAAATACTAACACTTGCACACCATTGTCATTGTTTCTTAATAAAAACAAAACAAACTAATGAAGAAAGAACAAATAAAAGACTAAAATAAGTTATTATGGTCGCCGAAATTATCATCATTATTGCCACAATCAACATTAATCATTGCCACATCACCACCACCGCCATCATCATCATCATCATCATCACCGACATTGAGAGTTTGAAGCTTCACCATTCTAGAAATCTGAGGAGGAACAGAACCAAATATAAAATTTGAATTGAAATCCAAATGTTCAAGTGATCAACACGTCATTCATACAAATATATATATATATATCATATACAATTTACAGAAACAAAAAATAATAATAATAATAAGAGCAAAAAAAAACAAAAACAAACAAAAACAAAGAACAAATTCAGTATATACATAATATACAAAATTAGAACAAAATGAGAGCAAGAAGAAAGAAAAAGAACAGCAGCTGAGCAATGAAAAAGCAGATCAATGAAAAGAAAGGAAGAAGAGCTGCGTAGTGAAGAAAGAAAAAGAAGAGAAGATCGAAAAGAGAGGAAGATTCAAAGACAAAGAAGAACAACGAAGTGAGAGGAAGATTCGAAGAGAGAGGAAGATGCGAAGAAGAAGAAGAAGAAGAACAACGTACCTGGTTTGTGGCTGCAAAATCTGAAATTTGTTGTTGAATTTCTCTTTCCCCAAGTTGTATTGCCCTAATCGCAAGTCTGCTTGCTTTGTTTCTCTGCCTCTCTTTTTTTTGCTCCTGATTTTGCTTTCAAGTTGAGAAAAAACCCTTCAAATCTGGATCGCATGGAGTCACGATCCAGATACGATCCCACCAATCCCAACGATCCTTTCACGATCTTGATTTGGGGTCGATCCAAAGCACGAGTCGGATCGAATGATGTATATTGGATCGTAGGATCATACGATCCGGATCGCGATCTTAACAACCTTGGGTGTAACCCTACAATAATAGAAAATTCATTCGTCTCTCCAGCAGGCGATCTAATAATGGTCACCACCCCTTCATACATGTCCCTAATTACGTCAATGTAACCTTTTGTCACCCCTTTCTTCTCTAACACCCACCATATTATATTTCGGGACACTCTATTATATGCTTTCTCAAAATCGATAAACATCATATGAATGTCTCTTTTCTTTTCTTTTCTTTATACGTTTTTATTGCTCTCCTCAAAAGATAGATCGCTTCCATTCTTGACTTACCAAACATAAATCCAAATTGATTCTCTGACACCTCTATTATATCTCGCAATCGGCATTCTATCACCCTCCTCCACACTGTCATTATATGACAAATTAGCTTGATTCCTCTATAGTTGTTGCAATTCTAGACATCTCTTTTATTCTTATAAATTGGCATTAAAATACTTTTTCTCCACTCATCTGGCATGTTCCTAGTCAACAAAATTTTGCTAAACCACCTAGTCAATCAAGCTAAGTTTCAATAGGGATATCATCGGGTCTTAAAGCCTTATTTGATTTCATCTTCTTCAGTGCAATCTCTACTTCAAAGTTCTTAATCCTACGATAGAACCTATAATCTTGGTGTATCGTATTACTGGTTATTTCTTCTCATATTGTTGTACTTCCATGTTCCTCATTTAATAGTTTCTGAAAATAATTCTTCCATCTTTCCTTAATCTCTTCATCCTCCACCAATACCTTAGAATCCTCACTCTTGATGCATTTAACTTGATTAAAATCTTTTGGTTTCCTCTCCCGTATCCTAGTAAATTTGTATACCCTCTTCTCTCCCTCCTTACTATCTAGTCTAGTGTATAGGTTATCATAAGCTTTCAACTTAATCTCTCTTACTACTTTCTTGACCTCCTTATTAGCCAATCTATAGCTCTTAAAGTTTTCCTCAGTTCTATCCTTCTGCCACTTTTTAAAGCACTCTTTTTTTGCCTTAACTACCGCTTGGACCTCTTCCCTCCTTAAAGCCTTATTTGATTTCATCTTCTTCAGTGCAATCTCTACTTCAAAGTTCTTAATCCTACGATAGAACCTATAATCTTGGTGTATCGTATTACTGGTTATTTCTTCTCATATTGTTGTACTTCCATGTTCCTCATTTAATAGTTTCTGAAAATAATTCTTCCATCTTTCCTTAATCTCTTCATCCTCCACCAATACCTTAGAATCCTCACTCTTGATGCATTTAACTTGATTAAAATCTTTTGGTTTCCTCTCCCGTATCCTATTAAATTTGTATACCCTCTTCTCTCCCTCCTTACTATCTAGTCTAGTGTATAGGTCATCATAAGCTTTCAACTTAGTCTCTCTTACTACTTTCTTGACCTCCTTATTAGCCAATCTATAGCTCTTAAAGTTTTCCTCAGTTCTATCATTCTGCTACTTTTTAAAGCACTCTTTTTTTTGCCTTAACTACCGCTTGAACCTCTTCCCTTCACCACCAAGTTTCCCAAGAGCTGGGTCCTGTTCCTTTCCACTCTCCAAGCACTTCCCTTAAGATTCTCCTCATACAATTGGTCAGTGAGTTTCACATATTGTTAGCATCATCTTCCAAGTCCCAAGTACCTTCCTTATCTATTCTATTCTTAAATATTTTTAGTTTATCCCTTTTTACGTCACACCATCTCATCCTACGACGCCCCCATCATTCCTAGCTTGGTATTGTGCTCTAAAACATAAATCTAGTACCAAAATCCTATGCTGAGAGGCCAAGCTCTCTCTAGGAATCACCTTATAATCATTACATTTTAAGCGGTCCACTTTTCTCACTAAGAAGTAATCTATTTAGCTCTTAACTGACTCACTATTAAAAGTTATTAAATGGTTCTCCCTCTTCTTATACATTGTATTGGCCACCACTAGGTCAGAAGCCAACGCAAAATCTAAGATACTCTCTCCAGCCTCATTTCAGTCACCAAAACCGTATCCACCATGCACCCTTTCATAGCCTAGTTTATCTATGTCTACATGGCCATTAAAATCTCCACCTATAACTAGGTTCTCTCCTACGTAAGGTTTTAAAAAACAGCTACAACCGTTACATAACGGTTGTGATGGTTACCGCCATCCGTTACTTGCAATGTGACTGAGATTCACAAGTGTGTCGTCCGTAGCTATCGTAACGGTGCGTAACGGCCTGTTACATAACGGTTCCTAACTCTTCTTTCAAAAAAACGCACACAAAAAAAAAAACTAAAATGGGGGAAGAGGGATAGAGAGAGAAGAGGTAAGATGGAGGAGCAAGAGATAGAGAGAGAAGAGAGAAGATGAAGAACATGATATTGATTTGTTAAAGCTGTAAGACCTATGTTATTTTATTTAGCTGCTATCACTCAACCATTTTGTTTGTGTGTCTATCTATATATTGTTTGAAAAATAATAATAATAATAATAGTAAGTATAGTCATTATCTATTTGGCTTGATTAAAATATGTATATATATATTTAAGCTCTTATTCTCTTACTTTTGTCATTGTTTATCTTATATATAATAGTTAGTGATTGATTTTTTATATAATATAAAGTCATTAATTATTAAAATAAAATATAAAAAACTCAGTTTATAGTGATTTAAAAATATAAAATATATTGGATCATACTTAAAAATTTACAAAAATTGGTCAACATTTATTTTAAAACCCAATAAATATGATTATGGAAAAAAAATATGCATATCGATAAGTTTTTTTCAAATTGTGTGAAAAATAAAAAAATTCACGGTTCCGATTACCGCAACCGTTACGCTATAGCTTTTACACCCCGCAACCGCCACCGCTATTGTTACGGCGACTGCAACCGCTTTTTAGAACCTTGCTCCTAGGAGTATCTCCTATAAGATCTCATCCATTTGCTCCCAAAAACCCCTCCTAGTCTAATCATCTAATCTTACTTGAGGGTCGTATACACTAATAACGTTCACTATATTCCCTCCAATAATTAATTTAACTAACATAATCATATCCCCCTTCCCTAATGAACGCCACTACATTTTCCACAAGACCCTTGGCAGTTATAATTCCTACCCCATTCCTACGTCTATCCTTACCACGATAATACAGTTTAAAACCGGTATCCTCAATTTCCCTAACTTTCTCATCCATCCACTTAGTTTCTTGTACGCAAGCTATACTAACTCTCCTCATAATCATAACATCTACCAATTCCATCGGCTACCTAACACACAATCCTGTGCCTTACCATTAAATAACTAATAACAAGCATGCCTTTATCAGAGACAGTGCCTAAGCTAGACCCAGACAATATTCAAGGTGCACCAGATTGCTCAGATGGGGCAAGGCAACATGCCTTCATTGAGCATAGGTAAATTCAATAATTTTCATATTCAAGAAAGGTAAACCTATTTACACCAACTCAGATATTTGCCGACAAAATTAACTTTGGTTTTGCCCAAAACTATAAATTACCTATGGATATGGCAGTGGTGCTCCTTTGATACCTGGGAAAACAGATAAGTTCTAACAGTCATTCCGTTACAAAAAATTTATGTAGTTTGCGGAAAAGAGAGGGGGGTTGGGGGGAAGACAAAGATCAACTTACACATATGACAGAGAATGAACAAGTTCTTGTAGATCATCAACAGAAAAACCAATCTCATCAAACAGAATATGGTAATGAGTTGGCCTTGTTGTGCCCTAGAAAATGAAACAAGAGATAATTATATTAGAAAACATAAGTACAACAAATGTGAACGATACAAAAACAATTTGATAGGAACTTCAAATATATGCACACAAAAAATGTAAAGTTGGATGGATCATACAGGCACCAATATCAATAAATTTAAAGGTGCCATATGGGAGCTTCTATTTCCACACATTAAATTATCCTAGTTCACACTTTTTTTTTATTCAGAATTCAACTTTCGAACGACACTTTATGATTCAGCTATATCTTGGTTTGAAAGTTGATTTTCAAACCATGTAATGTTGTTTGGAAATCAACTTTGGAACGAGAAATGGTGTGCGAACTGAGAAAGTTGTGAAAATAGAAGCTCCTGTGTCAAAAGGCACACAATTGAAGCATATCACTCAACAATAGCAATGAGAAACCATGTGATAACTCTTCTAGCAAGTTTAGTAGAAGAGAAATAGGACTAATATGCGAATCCATGTGACTCTCCAGGCATTCCTCGCATATGAATATTACCTCCAAGGTTCCAAAACAGGGCAAATTTATTTAAAAGCAGCCATATACATGTGAGCTTAATGTGAAAACTCACTATCATCCCAGCATGTGCACACATGTAGAAATCAAAGTTATGAGGATGACACACTTCTTTATCAATTACGGTTCCTGCACGAATCCACAACAAAGAACCGCATCAATATACAAAATGATCTAAACTAAAACTTTCTCCAAAAAGATGTATAGATGCTAACCAGGAGGAACATTATCTGGAGATCCAGCTTGGAAAAACTTAGTGTGGTGGTTCTTTTGGGCAATAATGACAGTAAACTTTGGGGACCAATTCTCATCAAGGAACTTACAGGCCTACCAAAAACAAAAAAAAAAAGAGTAAATGTGAAAAGAAAATTATAATTGTAGTTGCTTCATTGACATGCTATATTAGAGGGGCATCATCATAGCAAGACAACCTCAATGATTTGATCCAGCTCAATGTTCAAAACTTGATTGAACTGGGACTCACTTACTCCATCCCTAAGTCAAACACATTAAAAAACAATGCAATTATAATTAGCGCCATTAGCAATTTAGGAGGCAAGAGAAATGACCATTCATAATCCACATGTTTTGAGTGACCAAACATTAAAACATTACTCATCAAATTAATGATAATGACAACGATCATGATGATGAGGATGCAGAGTTTCTATTATGCCAACTGAACGGATTTGACATAAACCATATATACAACAATGGAAGCTTTAAGTCCACCAAGTTCAATAGAGACTTTGCAACGTTTCCCTCAACCTTCTTCTATAAATGGATATTTCAATATTTCAATCATAACCTTGTTTCTAGTTTGTAATAACCTGATGTCTCCAAAGTTACTGAACAAATGAACAGATCTAATTATTAAAAACAGAATTTTTTTCCTCCGAATATATACTACGATTCAGTGGTGGGCACCATGAAGCCCTATGTTATTTTCATTTTTTCGAGATATGATAACCTTTTTATTATATCCAATAACTCTTCTTGCCACCACAACTCCTGACAGTGCCAACACTGCTCTTCTTGCAACCATCTTTGTTCCTCCTACGACCATCAGGCCTCCTCTCACTCAAAGGAGGCATTAACACTTGCTCACCAGGAAAGGAAGACCCAAAAAACAAAACCATTGATCACACCCAAAACAAAAACAAGAGCACAAAAAAATAAAAAATAAAAATAAATAAAAACTTGATACTTACCAAATCCAAGAGGACCACAACCAGAAGGTTATGAAGATCAACAGGGATGGAAGAATAATAAAATTACAGAGGCAAAAGTGGAACAGCAAAGGAAATTGAAGAACTAAAGGCTTCAAACACGACAAACACCGGATAGAAATTGAAAATATCAAAGATGAAGATCAAAACCCAAGAGATCTCCAGTTGAAACCCTAGATCGATTGCAGTAAGACATTTTGTGTTCATTTGCATGGGACTCTTGAGGGGAAAAAAAAAGAATACCATTTTTACCTGAAGCTTAAAATAGATCCTCTAGCAAAATAGAAATAGAAGAAAGAATGTAAGTAGTGGATACTTTGGGCATGTTAGGGAGTGTTTATACTTAAAGAGCGAAGTGTTTAGCAACTGGGCCAGCTTTCACAATTGTGCTATTTTTGAGTAGTTTATTAATTTGGACCCCTAACCAAGCAAATGTTCTTCACATCTAGTAATCTTTCTAGATCTTCCATGTGTTGTGTTTCTAGGGGAAGAGAAGCGAAGGAAAAATAAAGGTGAAGACAAAGAAGACAATGGGAGAGTCTAACTACTATCCTCCTTTAGTTTCTGTCAGGTGCAAATGATGTAGTCATTAATTAAATCATTTTAGAAGTCTGATAATGACTCAAGGGTTATGAGACAGATGAAACTAAAACGTAGTCAAATGTCAAGCAAAGCATGAAAGTCCTGTAATAATAATATAAATAAATAAAATATGACAGAAAGCTACCGTAGAAAGGCCTGACCAAGGTCAATGATTCATCAGCAAGTGGTAGTACATGTCAATGACACTGAAGAGAATGGGGTTAACTCAGTGAGGAGGAGAGACAATGGAGCACCAAAGCTCAAGTCCATAGCTCAGACCGAGATGACCTTTCAAGAAGATGGAAGTATATGTATCTTGTGATGTAAGGGAGTCTGAACTACTATTTATAGGTGTGTCACGTAACCACAACAAACTACTGAACATTTCAAGAATTCCGTTACATGCCATAATGTATTAGTTTGTTAGGATTTGTCTCAATCCTCAAGATTCTGAACACAGGCTCAATGGCGCAGCATCTCTCAATAGAACAAGCTAATGCAGCCTGCCCCCCACACGGGTGCAGCGCCATGATGAAACCTCCATCTCTAACCACCACGGACCAAGCTGCAAGACCCTGGAGTCCCATAGTTCACATTGAAGCATCCAACATACTTAGGTCCTGCCTCTTGACATAGTATATAAGAGTGGTGCAGTCCAACATCCACAACAATGAGATAAGGTCACTTGTCTCAGTTAAGCACTGAGACATGCAGTATAACTACTGCAGTTAATAAGCACGCATTGTGACCTCCCACAGTAAGCGCGCGTATATAACTACCACAGTTAATAGGCACACGTTGTGACCCCCCACAGTAATACTTAGGCGCATACAAGATCTGTCCTTGAATATCGCCTGGTTCAAGACCGAACATGCCAATTGAACGCGTGTCCGTTGAAGGCACACATGTAGGTTCATACATTGGGCACACGTCAATGGCTACATGTCCACAACACATGATGATACAGGATACATCTACAGCTAATTATTGTGACAAGTAATTTTACTTATTGTGTTACTCTAGTGAGTCATAACAGTCACTTTCCAAGCTTTAGTGGCTCATATAATTCTATTAATGGTATGTTCTAGGCTTCATCACGATTAACATTATAGCAAATAAGAACTAAGGCGAAGAAAGCATACAAAGATTCAGTTTCTAAATAAGAGATAAAACCAAACCTGAAAATTATAATTTGTGATGGCTTTCTTTGCCCTGAACTTGAATAGAAGTCCAGCAACAACTCCCTAAAATAAAAATAATAAAAAAGGACAAAGGACAAAGAAGAAGATATGCATTCAGCACTCCATATTAGAACATAGAGAAATAAGACAGAAAAACAACCACCGGAAGAAAAACCAACCGCACTTGGCTTCCTTTGCATGAGCTAATAAGCCAGCTTATGGTTTTTTTAGCCCAATAAGTTTAAAAAACTGTTTTGTCCTTTGGCATACCACAAAAGTCCAAAAAATTAACTTTTCCATAAAAATCCAAAAAGCCCATACATATTATAAAAAAAAAACAAACAAAATAAAATAAAAACAACTTTTACACGAAAAAAAAAGCCCATAACTTTTTGCATTACTATAAAGAACAAATTGCTCATTTTGCACAAAAAAAACTAAACACTAGCAATTTTAACAAACGTGTTAAGCTACAAAGCCATTACAAAAGCCAAAATGCCATTAAGTATGCCAAACAACGTGACTTTTTTAACTCGACTTTTTGTTTGCTTATTTTTAAGCCAATAAGCTGACTTTATGACATATAGCCAACTCCTACATCAAGCATGAAAGACAAATATGCACCTTACTATCCCAGTGTCCTCATTGTCTGCCCCACGCTTAAAAAGGGAATCAATCATTTCAACCTTCGATGACTGTGAGCGAACAGATGCTCTGTAACGTGAAATCAGTGGCCAATGCCTGGAGCTGACTACCTACACAAACAAATGAAGTACCAAAACAAAAATGAAAGAATAAACAGGTGAATGATAAAACAGTAATTTTGTACCAATCATATTTGAAATAAAACAAATTGATTTTGGCACAAAGTAAACAGTTGTATGAAAAAATAAATAAATTAATTAAATGAGGGAACAAGGACTTACTGCAGCAATAGATGGCACATCAGAGTGACCAGGGGAACCATGTGACACATCCATACCAAAGATCATGGTAGGATTGTTTGAAACCACAGGGATATTTCTTGCAGGTTCAATAGATAATATCGAATTTAAACCACCAAGCTGTAGAACGAAGTAAGGAAAATCAACAGATGAAAAATCCAGTAGAACAAAAATTAAAAAGCAAAAAGCTTACTTTGGCATTAATCTTCAATAGAAGATTGTTGAGATACTGATCATTAACTCTCATAGGTGCAAGGCATTGATTAAAAATTCCAAAATCTGCCAGGTTCTTCTTTTTCCATGGACCTTATAGATTAAATTGAACGGTGTATAAGACAAATAAAAAATAATAGTTAATAGTTTGTGTTAAAGAAGTTATATAATGAGCCAACCATAAACATCAGAGTTCTTCCTATCAGGAAGAAGACACAGAATAAAGTGTGGTGGTCCATGAGGCAATTTTGGCATCATTTGTTCGAACATTTTCTCCACCCGAACAGGAGGTGGAGCCCGTCTAAACTGAGGGTTCTCTTCAAAAACATCAGCTGGGGGATCTATGGACTGAAAAGAAAGCATACAAAGAAATATATATTACTAAAGAGTTACTAGATTCAAGAAATACAATATTCACACAAATCAGTGAGCATATAAAGAAATATATATTACTAAAGAGTCACTAGATTCAAGAAACACAATATTCACACAAATCAGTGAAACTCACAATTCCCTTCATTTCTCCAACCCTGGCCAAATCTCTACATAGACCACGTACATCACAACGAGCGGAGAAATTTACTACAACCCAGTTCTTAATTTTTGTAGGTTCCACAAATTTCTGCAGAAGAACATAACTCATATCAGAGTCACCAACATGAACATTTAACATAACTCATATCAGAGTCACCAACATAAACATTTAGAATGAAATAAACAATATTTAGCACCTTATTATTTAAGTTCCACCGTCCATTTCGAGGCATAAGATCCTCTCCGTTGCCCAACTTCAACTGCAATAAAATAGCAATTTGATAGAGAGATTCGAAACTATCTAACCATTACATCTAATCCAAAGAAAGATCAAGGAAACATCCAGGGAAATGAGAGTTAGTTACCACTAAATCACTATAGAAAACATACAGAACAGAGAAAAACATATACTATTATACCCTTGGGGCTGACAGAACACGGCCTTCTACTTGAGTAAAATTAGCTTGAATTGAAACGCCACAGGAACGCAGCATTGGATCAGAACCATAGTTGTTGCTTTTCATTACCTGCACAGAAGCCCATGTAATGCACTGATATGAACATGGAAAGAACAATCTGTATTAGTGAGAACCAATGGAAAGAAACCTACATCAGTCAAGATCCTGATCTTTTCTTGGGGCTTTTGCCTTGATTTTTCTACCAATGATGATCTTTGATGGACAGTTAATGCCTTCGTGTAGCGTTGTAAGGAAACCAACATGCAAAGCTAGACAACATGCAGACCATTATACTCCCCTTATTATCACCAACAAAGTTAAAAGAAGTTGGCCAATAGACAAATTTAGTAGATGAGATGTTAAAAAAAAGTGTTTGTACCTCAATAGGGATGTAAGTTGGCCGTTTTGGTTTCCCAACATTAACACATGGCAAATCTGCTGAGTAGCGTAACTCTAGGTGACGATAATTAACAAAATAATCATAAACTGTCACATCAACACTTTCATTTTCATCCTTTTGTCCTCTCGTTTTCAGTGAGAACCTACCAAAAAAAAAAAAACAAAGTATAATACAATTAATCAAGAAAACAACACATTCAAAAACTAAAGCAAACTCATAGAATGAAAGCCAGCATAGTTTGTACAAAAATATGACGGCAACAAAAGCTTACATCTGTTCTTTGCAAGGGCTCTCACTCAAACCTATAATTCTGTACTCCATATTAGAAGGTGTTACCTTTATCCTCAAATTTTTAAGAGTTCGTTTAGCCTGTTAAGATCAGAAAAAGTTTTCCATTAGCCAAAAGTAAATAAAATATCACCAACAGAATGCCATAAAGTGATAGCCAATTACCTTTGCCCAGTCAACCTGAAAAGGATCTCTTACACCTTGATTGGCTATGAGAAAATCAATCACTGGCCCTGGCTGTACTATTGTTGTAGTGGACCCATCTGCATATTTTTAGGGGAGAAAAAAATGGGGAAAAAATTAAAAATGATAAAGAGATGCCTAAAATTCAAGCCAAGTACAGTGACTTGCCCATGTTTAGCGATAATCCTCCTCGGGTGGCGCGAAAGCTTGAATGGAAACCTCTACACCCAAGGACACCACCTCCCAAATCTGTGAAGTTGCTCTGATTATCATGAAAAAATGATTGTCGGACAAGAAGGCAACCCCTGTATAAAACAGGTCAATTGTAAGAAAATAATACCGGGAAGTCAAAATAGAAAGAAAATGTAGCTAAATGTGCGAATTGTGAACTTACTGCTTGGAAGCATGCTGCCTTAAAATGATGTCTAAGACCCTTAAGGCTTCTTGAGAGTTCTCAGATTCTTGACCACGTAACGCACTTGCAATAGCCTGAACTGGGATTTTAGCTGCAAAACTGATCTCTACTTTAAATGTTTTGGATTGGGGCGCACGTCTTAGCCTCTTCCTGTCACTCTCATTAGGACTTCCATTCCCTCCGGGGCTGCCACTACCATTTGTTTTAGATCCAAAACTGCCCAACCACCAAGTTAAACTCCAATTGTAATGGAGAACATGTCATTTAACCTGTATTTTAACTATAATTCACGTAACTGAGCATTTTACCTTTTTGGTGAGACAGAATCAAGAACAACAGTAAATTCCATCTTATTACGTGGGAGGGCACCAACTGTGAATAAGCTCTTCTCCCCATCATAAGCAAAATCCTTTTTCCCAAGCTCAGATTCATAAGTTTCATGAACTTTGTCAATTATTTTCCTTCCAATACCCTTGCCATCAAGAGGGCGATCATCTTCATAGAATATTGAAACCTGCTCAACAAACAAAAGAATAAATAAATAAATAAAAAATAAAACCATTTCAGAACCAACAAACTCCATAAGAGAAACACTAAACCGCAATGGACGAGAGGGACTTACACAGTAGTGAAAAAAGTGCCCGGTAGCATTAGTAATACCAACTTTGAAATGATTACTGAGTAGTGATATTTTTTGTCCTTTAGATCCAGTACCAGGTCTGGCCATGGGAACACGCTTGGGCTCTGATGTTTTCTTCGTGAATTCAGGCACATCTTCTGGTTCTTGTACTCGTATGGGATCTATGTCTGGGGGAATTTCTGGTGGAGGTGGCAGCAGAACGTCTGTCTCCCCAAATGGCTCCATTTCCTATACTTCAAGCCAATAAGAGGACAATAAAATCAAATGTCATAACATTAATGAGAGAGAATCTCATAGCATCATAAAATGTGTATTGCAATTACAAGGAAAAAAAACATTCCAAAGCTATACTGAACAATCTAGAGGTATGGCTGAGACCAAAAATTCATGGTAAGATCATGGAAATTTCACTACATAACCATTTTCAAGTGGTAGATGTAGCATGGTTGTAAAAAGCAAAACACAGCTATTTAAGTTAGTAGAATATTTCATCCAAATTGAGAATTATTCAACCCGTTGCCAACCCATCCATCAACATAACTAGAAGGATATTTTGGCTATTTCAAACCAACAGATTGGGCAGATTAAAAACACAAAATAGGAAAGAACACAAGGAAACATTCATACATAGTTCTTTTACAATTTCAAACAAAATTTCATATTTATTTAAATACCAACACAAAACTCAAAAATTAATCGAATGCATGGCATTATTCAAAATCATATTTTACTAATTAATGCAAAAATTCAAATTAGGAAAAAATATGAGATAAAAATATGGGGCGAGTGTCATCTTATTAACAGTGCTAGACAGATTATGTGCAAGCAACATGTAAGCAGATTGGGTGTGTTTATAAATGAATTGACTAATATTAACCCACTAGCCAACTGACCCCCCGACTTTTATTTTATCATCTAACCTGCCCAGTCTAACACACTCTTCTTCTCACAGGATAGTTTGGGTAGGTTAGAGTCAGCATGAGTCAACAAAATGGAGGTTTTTCTGCCCACCCCTACTCTCCATAACAAGTCCAGTTTCTCCATCATGGTTTCTTACACTGATCTTGTTGTGCTTTTATCAAAGCAAGTCACGTCAGAAAAATACATAACCAACAATTCAAGTTAAAAATTATAGTAAAACGCCATTAAAATCATGAGAAACTCACAAATATTTGTGAGAAATGTTACGCATTCTTCTTGTTACAATAATTTATGATTTCTGAAATGAAGTTACAACAATTTGTGATACTTACGCACCATAAAAATACATATCACAAATTGTTACATCTTCACTTAGAAACTCACAAATTGTGGGAATACTGTGGAAAAAATGTTACGTAACCTTTGCTACAAAAATTCATGACATTGAAAGAAAAAAAAATGGGTAACAAGATGTATGTACCTTCTAAGGGTTGTATACCGCAACATCGTTAAAACAAAAATATAATTTTGGATAAATTATATGGGTAGTCTTATATTTTGTTCTTTATATCATCTCTATAATTTTAATTAGCTCAATTGTGACTCTAAATTTACATTTTGTGTCAATTTAATCCAATAAATAAAGTTGTTAACATCACACGCTCCGCTTATACGTGCATTTTTCTCTAAAAAAAAATATAATATTTGTAATTAATTTGACCAAATTAAGTTAAAATCATAAATTCTGAGTCAAAATTTAACCAATTAAAACTACGTAAACCAAAATGACAAAACAGTCAAAATATACGACTACCGGTGTATTTTGCCCTATAATTTGACCTTTAACTTTAAACATAAGTGTGAGATTAACACAGCAAGACCGTTGCATGAAGCAGAGAAAGAATCCTCAGCCCTCTATAACCCTGTTATTGAGCTCAAAGACCATGATTGTGTAAAACCCTAAACCAAAAAACCTAGGACAGTTGAATATGGAAGTAAACAGCACATGCTGGAGTGATTCATGAAAGACCCATGAACACTGAAGCTACAAATCATCAAATTATTTACCTCCAACCCAGATCCAGATATATGAAGCAAGAATTTTCACAGAAGCAACGAAACCCAAAAAGAAAATGCAGAAAATTTGCGTAGTGTAATGTTCAAAAAGCTACTTAGAAACTAGAAGCTAAGAAAGAGAGAGACAAATTAGAGACATGAAAGAGAGAGAAAAAAACAGAGAGTTGATACCTGGAAAATAGGCGAGTTGCGAAGGTTTTGGAAGCAGAAAACAAAGAGGAAATGGTAGAGAAGAGGATGAAGTAGACAAATAGTAAACAGTGATGAAAATGAAAGAATGTACTACTAGTACAACCAAACAAAAGTGGTATATACAGAGAGAGAGAGAGAGAGAGAGTAAATACTAATGTGCAGGGGTCCAAATGGCAGCGGGTGACAGTGCACCGTCACACCACAATTCTGGGGAATTTGAATGCAATTAATAGGATGTGTTTGGGAAGATAGTTTTTAATTTTTTTTTTAGTTTTTTTTATTAAAAAATAAAGGGTAAATTATAAACATCCTTGAGGTTTGGTGAATTCTTTCTTGAAATTTGAAAAATTATATTTTATCCTTTAAGATTTATATTTTCATAATAAATTGTCTTTTGATATTTTTATTTTCATACAGATTCCTTCTTAATGTTTCTCAATTTGTCATAAAAATTTGACCTTTAGGGGATAATTTGTAATTTTTCAAATCTCAGGAGAAATCTATATTTTTATCAAATTTCGAGGGGTGTTTGTAATTTGCCCAAAGATAAATTAGTTTCAAAATTAAAAAAAATTAATAATGATCCGGACCTTTTTTTTCTCACCCCTTGACCCCCTCTCAACATAGTTAGCCAATTTTTTTTTCTTTTTTTTTTTCCTTCTCCTCCAATCACCACCCGTCACGTGTGTGTGGGGTGGTGGAGGTGGTGATTAGAGGGGGTCTCAATCATGACCCAAAAAAAATAAATCCAAATAAAATATCACATCAAATCTCATAATTGTTTTACTTTTTCTCTCACAAATATCACATTCAACCACAAAAAAATCTACTATCTTTCCAAACACAAAAAAAAAAAATCAATAATATCCTACAACTAAAAAAACCCACTTCCCAAATACCCACATAATATAAGTTGGTTTGAAATGTGAGTTAATTTTTAAATTTTTTAATTATTTTAATTTATGATTAAAAAAAATATTTATGATGAATTTTTTAATTTTTTTGATTTTTAAGAAAAAAATATAAGGATTACATGTTCATTTTATCTTATTAAATTAAAAGTCTATTTTATTTTTTTATTATTTTAATAAAAAAATTAAGTTTTTTTTTTCAAACGAATTTTATATTAGTTTCGAGTTTTCAGTTAAACAGCTATTGAAAAAGAAATAACAAACAAACAAAAAAACCTTTTCCCAAATACGAGGCAGTAAATGAAAATGCATTCACACATCACCATTTTGCACTAACTTAAAAAGAGAGCCAAAAGTGACATTTATTATTAGGTTGGCAAATGGTAACAAAGGTTTTTTTTAATTAATGTTTTATATATCAATTAATGTATTAATTGATAATATGATATAATTTAAAATATTTTTGATATGAATAATGTTATATGTATTAGTTAGTGTATTAATTAATATATCAATTAATGATATGATATAATTTAAGAAATTTTTAATATTTGTAATGTGATTAATGAGTTGAGTCAATAATAATATCATAACTAGTGTTGGTAATTAGTGCATGTAGCACTACCGTTTTATATTTGTAATTGAATAATGTTATATGTACCAATTAATATATTAACTAGTATATTAACAGATGATGTTGCATAATTTTAAAAGTTTTAGATATTTGTAATTTGTATAATAGGTGGAATCAGTAATAATGACATAACACTAGTTGGTATACTAGTATGTATATTAATGAGTGGGATCAATAATAAAATCATAATTTATATTTATTAATTTCTTTCAATCCATATGCCTTTTGAGAGATTTGGTCAAAATTCCCTCGAAACATTTATTTATTTTTGTCAATCCACATACCTTTTAAGAGATTTGATCAAAATTCTCTCATTGTTATCAAAATATATATATAAATAATTATTAATACAACTATGTAAGGGTGAAACACTAGTATTATATAAGTAAAATAGAGTTTTTAATGAAAAGACATTGGTGAAATTCAAAACATCATACTATTTTTCTAGAATTCTTATTTTTTAAATAATTAGGCCAAGTTTGGGGACTTCAAAAAAAGTCAAAAAGTCAAAAAGTTACTCAAAAAGTTAAAAAGTTAACACTATTCACCAAAAGTCAACAATTACGGCTGCACAACTCCCAATCCTAATTTTCCCCTACAAACCAATTTTTACAATTTTTTAAATCAATTTTTACAATTTTTTATTACACATTTTTCAATAAAAAGTCAAAAAGTTAACCCAAACATCCATATTTTCAACCTCAATTTTTTAGTCCAAAAAGACAAAAAGTACACTTTTTTAGTCTTCCCAAACTTGGCCTTAAAAAAAATTCTATTGATTAACTTTTATTGAATCATTCAAAAAATAGTAATTAATCCATTTAAAAGGAAAGTTAATTAATCTATTTAAATAGCTTTTATGTCTTGATTTACATATTTCAAAAGGAAAGTTAATTAATCTATTTAAAAATTTAAATAGCTTTTATGCCTTAATTTACACATTTTAAAAAGAAAGTTAATTAATTCATTTAAAAATTTAAATTTAAAAAGAAAGTTAGTTAATCTATTTAAAATTTTAAATAACTTTTATACCTTGATTTACACATTTCAAAAAGAAAATTAATTAATTTATTTAAAATTTAAATTTAAAAATTGAGAAGGAAAGTTAACTAAGATATAAATTTAAATTTGAATTTTTATACTACTAAAATATAGGAATTAATCTACATCTTTCATTTTTCTTGATGTTTAATAATTTTATATCCATCAATATTCCAATCTATATATCTATATTATAGCAAACATGCATTCCATTAAATAAATAAATAAATAAATCATGAAACCTCCAAAGATTAGTGACGTAGATAAAATCAAACAAAATATGTTGGCCTTAGAGTTTTAAAGCAAAAAATTTATGTTAGAATTTATTCAAATGTAATTCTCTTAATATTTATAAATATTTTTATTGATTGACAAAAAACACGTAAACATTAAGATTATTGTTTTTTTTATCATATTGAGTTATTAAAATAAGATGTCTTATAGGCTTAAACCAAGAAATGTTGAACAAAAAATCGACTCGAACTAAATTTTCTAGACTCATTTTTAATATTTTAATCTCATATTAGAACTCTCAAACTAACTCATACCAGTTATAAACCAATAAAGATAATTTTAAATAATCAAGACAATTTTTAATGACTATGTAAATGTCACATTGGCATAAATATTTAGTCAACTAGTTTTCAGGTCACTTCTAATTTTTAGTTCAACACCACAAGTCAATTCTAATCCATTTTCGCAAAAGAGTTATGACATCAATTTTAAGTAAACAAATTTTTAAGTTCTACAAAATAAGAAAAAGTTAGTATATTAAAAAATATAATTTATTACTATCATATGGTAAATTAAAATTATGAAACTTATAAAATGAAATGTATTTATATTTTATTGTAAATAAAAAGAATTTAATTTATTATTTACATTTTACCAATTAAATTATGACATGCAGGTTTTTATTAAGAACTTAGAAAATACAATTAATGACATTAGAATAAAAATCTTCTATTAGTGTAACTCTAATAAAATTTAATAAAATTTAATTGATCATAAATCATTTTTACAACATATTTTAAATAAACTTTATATTATTATTTTAATTTTAAAACTAATTTTTTATTATTTATTTATACTCGTGCATAGCACGAATAACATGCTAGTTTGTTAGTATACTAATTGATGCATGTACCACCACTCTTTTTTTTAAAACGTTGTTTAGGATTTGATTTTTTCTAAAGTTATCATTTTAATTTGAGAGAGTATTTGGATTTAATAGGCTTATTTTGAAATTTATTTCGGTAATTCGAATCATTCACTTTAAGAATTTATTGAGTAGAATATTCATATAAAAAATCAAAATGATTGAATATCGGTAGTTATATATTTAAATTATATTTGTTTTTAAAAAATGAACAATAATATAAGTTCAAGAATAGACATTTATTTTTTTAATATAAATCTAATCAAACATATTGTTACTGATATTCAATTATATTTATTTTTTATATGAATATCTACTCAATGAGTTTTAAAAAATGAATGGTTCAGATTATCAAAATCAGTCGCAAAGTGGGTCTACCAAACTTAAACGCAAACATTGAGTAGAATATTCATGCAAAAAATAATATGATTGGACATCAGTAACTAGATATTTGAATCATATTTGTTTTTAAAAAATAGATGACAAATATAATTTTAAGAATAGCCATTTATTTTTTGTAATACAATCTGATTCAAACATATAGTTATCGATATCCAATCATTTTAATTTTTTACATAAATATTCTACTTAACAAGTCTAAAAAAATGAATGATTTAAATTACTGAAATTGATCCTAAAATGGTCTTATTAAAGCCCAAATACTCTCGAGTTGAGGTGATCAATTTAAAATAAGCCAAATCCTCTCAAGATTTTGTTGGTAAAGAATAAAATATGTTAAAAATGATAAAGAATTCATAAAAAAAAATTATTTTTAATGAAAATTGTTTTGAAATTAATTAAAAAAACAATATGCCTACGTACAAAAAAAAAATAATAATTTAGAATTTAAAATCAAAAAATTCATTCAGTGTATGATTTCACAACACAATTTCAAATATACATTTTAGATCTAACTTTCAAAGTTTTAATTGTTTTTTTATTTTTTTTATTTTGGTAAATTACAATTATTGCTCTTGAGATTTATGACAATTACATTGATCTCCTTATTTTTTTTGAAATTATATTGACCTCCCTTGAGATTTACTTTTGATTTGCAGATTTTTCCTTTCTATTAATTAACCGTTAGTTTGACTAATAATTTCTTTTTTTTGGCGAAAATTAGTGATTAGCTGTTAGATTAGGTCATAGGGGGATTTCAGTTTGGTATGTATAATATTTGAAGTGATTATCTGTAAATTAAGAATAAAAAAACAAATTATTCATTTTTTAGGTGAAAAATTAGTATGAATTATTGAAGTCAAATGAGAAATACAAGAACTATGTAAACAAAATCGTTTTTCCAATGCACGTAAAAAATAAAAAAAAATGAAAAAAGGAAGACAAGAACTTATATGTATGTAATGCAATAAATTATATATATATATATATATATAATCAAACCGTGTGAGTATTTATTTTAATAAAATTACTCAT